TTTTGTATTGTTAGTTAAAGACGGAGTTTCACCATGTTGGCCAGGCTGGTCACCAACTCCTGAGCTTAAATGGTCCGCCCGCCTTGGCGTCCCAGAGTGTTGGGATTACAGGCCTGAGCCACCGCACCTGGCCCAGTTAAAAATGTTTTTAAGCGCCCCTTGCCTACATAGGTCAGGGTGGAAACCTGCCCCGTAGGCACTTAAGAGTTTCATGGTGCCTCCCCCACAATAGTTAAATGAAAAACTAAATCTACTCAGAGGCAGAAAATATCCTCATCAACTTAGTCTCTCCCTCCCAGGAGATGGAGGCCAGAGAGAGACCTGGAGTGGGGGCCGGGAGGGGTGTGCGGGGCAGTGGAGGGCCCTTGGCCCCAGGGAGCTGAGCCGTCTTTTGCTTGGAGGCGAGTGTGACCGGCAGAGAAATGGCATGATGTCCTTCCCTGGGGTGTCAGGCTTCAGCAGAGGTTCCAAGACTCTGCCATGGCTTGGATTCTAGAGAGCCCCCTCCACCTACAAGCCAGGAGTCTCTGGGGGACCCTGGGGAACGCCTCTGATCCCGCAAGCCCACCAGCGGGCACTGTTACCCTACCTGCAGGGCCACAGCGCCAACTGCTGGTGGGGTCCAGGCCACACTGCGCTTAGCCTCGGGTAAGTGTTCAGCTGCGTGCGCTTCACTGACAATTTCCTAAGGGCCTGGCGTTTCTCGCTGAATCAACAGCCCTACCTGGTGTGGGTGATTGGCTCCAATTTAAAGATGAGGTGCCTGAGGCAAAGGGTCAGGCTTCTAAGGGGCTGAACCTGGGTTTGAACCCTGAGCCTATCTGGGCTTCCCCCTACATACCACACAGCAGGGCAGCTGCCACCAATGAGAGATGTCCCAGCCAGAGGCACTCTTAACCCCCGAGCTTCAGCCTCAGGCCTGCCTGCCTGTCCTGCAGCTCCCAGCTCCCAAGGTAGGCAGGGTGGGAATGAGCCAGGGGTCTCTGGGAGCCCAGCTACTTCTCCCAGCAGTTAAGGAACAAGACAGGTTATCTCACATCTGCCTATTGTGCCTTCAA